ATTAATATCTCTGTCATTTAACATAATGTAAGTGGCTTATTAAAAGTAACTGAGAAGATTAATAAATAACAGTCCCCCAGCCCCGCCTTTCTGAGAGGAGACAGGGTCTTACCATGTGGCCCACCGTAGTCTGGAAGTCAAGATTCTGCGTCAGTTTCCTAGTCTGGGATTGCAGGTGTAAGCCACCAAGCTCAGCACCTCAGTACCCTTTCGTGGACACCCTTGTAACCCATCCACGTTTGGGACTTGGTGACCAGGGACTCTTCAGTGAACTCTGCCACAGCAACAGGCGGTCTCACACCACTGTTTATATTTTAAAAATAATCCTGAGTTGGGCGGCGGTGGCGCACACCTTTAATCCCAGCCCCCGGGAGGCAGAGCCAGGCGGATCTCTGTGAGTTCAAGGTCAGCCTGGTCTGCAGAGCGAGATCCAGGACAGGCACCAAAACTACACAGAGAAACCCTGTCTTGAAAAAAAAAAAAAATCCAACTTCAGGTCCTCAGGAGAAGGAATCTGTGTTCTTCTACATTGCGTTCCTTGCAGTGTCTCGTGTGTGCTGTTTAGTGAATAGCTGTTGATTGAAAAACCAGGAAGCAAAGTTGGATCATTTCCTTCCAATTTCTATGCCATTTTGCTTCCTGGAACAGTGTCTGACCCCTCCCACAAGATTTTTGTAGTAAGGGTGTCACTGAGGCTGTGGGGCCCTCTTCTCTGGGTCTGGAATGACACCCTTAGGTGCTTGACTGACACACTCTGGAAGGCACCTGGTCATTGAGTTTTGTCGAGAAATGGCTCTGTGCCAGGGCCTGCTCCCTCTGGCTCGCAGCGAGGGAGGACCTGCTCTGCCAGCCAGCCGTGAGCAACGCCGTCTTCCTGACTGCCAAGGAAGAAACGGTAATTGCCCCTCGTTTGTTTGAATAACCTAAGATGAGGCTAAACAAGGCTATTCAGCAGGAAGGAAGCAGCGGTTGGAAGTGAAGTGCCCAAACAGCATAAATGCCGGAAAGGAACCGGAAAACTCCCCTGCACCCGTTATGAGAACCTGCTGGGACCTCTAGGCGAGCGGTGGAAATGACCAGGAAGCAGAGATTTGTTCCGTCAGATAAATCTAATTGCAGAACTCTAAATATGAGCGCATTCCACTTTGGTAGATTTTAATCCCACTATAAGACTTATCATCTTTGAGGACTGTGTGTTTATTAGTGATGTGGAAGGAGTGAATAAAGCTTTGCTTATGAGTCCTCTATTTCCTAACAGGATAGTCTCCGAAGATTCCCGTGCAGAACGATGCCTTGGGCAGAGGAGCGCTCATCAACCGTGGTCACACACTGCCCCCTGGTGGCTCAAAGGAATCTCACAGCTTTGTCCTGAAAGGGAGGTGCCGGAGAAAGATGGACCAAATCTCTCCGCATCTCTGTTGTAACTTTCTCCCTAATGCTCTCCTCTTCCCTCTGCACTGTTTCACACCATCCTATGTGCCACGTGACTCCCCATCATTCTTCTGAGGCTCTATTCCATCGAATGGCTAAGGAGACTCAGTGAGTCCCTACTATGTGTAGGGCACTCGGCCACCGATTCAGAGGGAACTTTCAGAACATTAGTCAGAATCGCTCTGTCCATTTTCTAACAGGCTCCGACTCTCATCATTTGAGTGATTACGTATTTATTCATCGTCGGTTTCCCCTCATAAATCCAGAGAGTGACGCCTGTGGAGATAAGGGTCATTTCCATGTGGTTCCTGCTCTCTATTTAGTACCCATGCCAGTATTTGGCACTTAACGCCCCCTCAGTGGGCTCACGGAGTAACTTCGTGATCTCAGTTTCAGTGTGGTAACTGTGGATAGTGACACACCAGGATCTTAGGACAGAGAAGAGAGCTGCCGATTCTGAGATGTTCAGGGGATGGGGTTGTGTTCTACCAAGGTTCCCAAAGGAGGCCATCTGAAAAGCAGGAGGAAGTGGGAAAGTTAGTCCAGGTGGTTGAAGGGTCTTCGAGCCAGGAAAACAGCATGGACATGGGCATGAGAAAGACCTGGTTATGGAGAGCTGTGACCACTGTGTAGTCAGCCATGCTGGAGGGAGATGCCAAAGATGTCTACGGTGGGAAGTGCCACTGGGAAGGAGAATACAGGTCTTTGGAAGGTCTAGATGCCACAGTTTTACTATCTGTGTTAGGGAAGGAAGTAGGTACATTTGCTTCTTAAGAGTTCTGTTTTCAGAGGACCGCCTGCTAGTCTCAAGGCTAAAGGTGCATTTCCATGTACCTATGCACAGCATGTGGCATCTCTACACACACACACACACACACACACACACACACACACACACACACGAAAGCACAAGTCACAAAGAATGAGAATGAAATAAAGATGGTCACAGGCACCACTGAGGGCATCAGGATGGAAGGGAAGAGAATAGCTTTTGTCCTGTGTTCCAAAGAGCAGAGAACAGAGAGCAAATGAAGCAGCTTTCTTTGCTTGTGTGAGCACTGTGACCAACAGTGCTGAGTGCTTGTTGAGTGCTTCAGTGAACCACAGGGCTAGCTACTGGGCTGAAATTGTTGCAGCCAAATTCTACAGTTTTCCTCGTTCTGGGCTCTGTGCAAGTTGCATTAATTACGTTCTCACTGCACAGTTTATCCCTCAGTACCTCATGGCTTACCTCATCGAAAGACCCCATTGAGTTGCTTAGATTTAGCCTACCATTGGGACGGTTTCAAGTACGAAGCAAGAGAAGAAAATCCTCTGAATTATCAACTATAGTTTAATCTTTTTATTATTATTTTTGTGATTTTTTTTAAATGAAGTCTCATGTAGCCCAGGCTAGCCTCAAACTTGCTTAATAGCCTAGGTTGACTGGAACTAGTCACGCTCCGCGACTGAAAGTCAAGTTGTTAAACCTTTCAGATTTCTTATTTGGTATTTATTGGCTTTAAAAATATTTTTTATGTAATAGATTTTGATCATATTCCTTCCACTCCCCCAGCTCCTCCCAGGTCTTCCCTGTCTCCCTACCCACCAACTTCATTTTCTTTGTCTCTCTCAAAAAACAAAAACCCAAGAATCAATCAATTAATCAAACAAACAAAAAACTAAAAAGACAAAAAATACAAAACTTAAAACCAAAACCAAACAAAACCAACACAAAAAACAGACAAAAAAAAATGGAGTCCATTTTTTGTTAGGCAGCTGCTCCTGAGCATGGGCCTGCTCTGGAATATGGTTGATATATGTGTCTCTCCATTGGAGAAAACCGATTTTCCTCTGCCAGCAGGCATCAGTTGCAAACAGCTTCTTGGTTAGAGGTGGGACTTTGTGCCTATGTTTCCTTCTCTGTGCTGGGATTTGACTGACTTGACCTTGTGCGGGTCTTATGCATGCTGCTGCAGTCTCTGTGAGTACATATGTACACCAATCCTGTTGAGTCTGGAAGACACGGTTTCCTTGGAGTCAGAGTCAACTCTGTGTAGTTGTTTTTTTTACTCTTTTCTCTGTGGGGACCTGCCACCCAGCTCCCAAATAAATACACAGAGACTTATCCTTATTTATGAAGGCCCGGCCTTAGCTTGTCTTATTTCTAGCCAGTTTTTCTTAACTTAAATTATCCCATCTACATTTTGCCTCTGGGCTTTTACCTTTCTCTCTTCCATATACCTATCTTTCCTTCTTATTCCATGGCTGGCTGTGTGGCTGTGTGGCTTTGTGGCTGGGTGGCTGGGTGGCTGTGTGGCTGTGTGGCTGGCCCCTAGCGTCCTCTCTCCTTCTCCTTTTCTCGCTCCTCCTTTTCATTCTTCTTTATATCCTTTCTCCTGCCTTGCTATTGGCTATTCAGCTCTTTATTAGACCATCAGCTGTTTTAGACAAAGTAACACAGCTTCACAGAGTCAAACAAATGCAACATAAAATAATGCAAAACATCTTTGCATCATTAAACAAATATTCCACCCCATAAACGAATGTAACACATCTTCAACTGATATTCAACAATACCCATGGTTCTTAAAATCTTTCTGCCTCCTCGTCCTAATAGTCTCTGAGCCCCGAGGGGAGAGATTGGATAGAGACTGCCATTTGAGACTGAGCACTCCAAAGTCTCTCACCATGCACATAGCCAGGTTGTGCATCTGTGTTGGTTTTATCTACTGCAAGAAGCTTCTCTGTCAAAAGTTGAGTGATGGCCCCATCTGTGGATATATTATTACTTCATTAAGAGTGATTTTATTTGTATGTTTTAGAAGAATAATTGCAGTAGGTCTTCATCTAGGGCCCGTGACCTATCGAGTCTAGGTTCTTGACCAGTTTGGCAGTGTCAGGTATGGGTTCCATCTGAAATAACACGTAACAAAATTAAATCACATGTATGTGTGTGTCTAAGTGTGGACCTATGCATGTGAGTGCAGTGTCTGTGGCAGCCAGAGAGGGCTTGACACTCTCTAGAATTGGAGCTAGGCGGTTGTAAGCTGCCTGATGTGGGTTCTGGAAACCAAACATAGATCTTCTGCAAGAGCAGTTCATACTCTTATTCACTCATACACACACACACACACACACACACACACACACACACACACACACACACACACACTTGAAAATTAAATAGACTTCCCCATTTAGTGAAGAGCCCTCTACAGTCTTTCGTTCTCTGGAGATTGTGTCTGGGTCTCTGTGTTAATTTCTGGTGACTTGCCATCTACCGTAAGAAGGAGTTTCTCTGATGAGGGCTAAATGGTGCAGTAACTTATGGATACAGAGCTAAGTCAGTAGGAGTAGGTTTGTAGCTATGTTCGTTAGCAGAATATAGTGGCAAGTTTCCCCTAGGGCTTGTCTGGCCACGGGTTCTTTGTCTCAATTCTTTTGGATCAGGCCTTAGATCCAATCAGAAAGTCGTTGGTTACTCTCACAACATTCACAACACTGTTGTTCTAGCGACATGTCTTGTCAGGCTGACCATTATTGCAGCTCACAGCTGGGTCAGACTAATGGTTATTCTTCTCCTCCAGGAGAGTGCACAGCACCTTATATCACCATGAAAGCTAGCCAGCAGGGATGAAGCTTCCAGGTGAGTACCAGCTTCAATTCTGTCTTCTGTAGCTTCAGCAGTAGGGTCTTTTCATCAAATTCTGGAGAGTAACCGAGAACAGTGGCAGTAGCCTATAATGTTTTGGGTCCGTGGCACCCCAATGACCAAAAAACTCCAAAGGAGGCAACCCATTCCTGGCACTGACCCTTTTATTTGATAGCTTATGGTGTGTAGGATGGGTAGTGTTCCCCTACTCTCAGATAACTCTCTATTTAAATTCTCTATTTATAGGAAGCTTTTGTGGCAACAGGTTTCCATATGGCTTTCTCAAGGCTCAGAGGTCATCATGGCAGAGGGGCAAAAGAATCGTGAGAGCCAGAGGGGGTAGATGGTTGCAACATCCCCTGACCACACAGTAGGGCAGTTGCACTTACGAATTGCAGCTGTTGTTACAGCACGTGTGATATCACTGCAAGTTCAAGCCCAACAAAATTCAATCTTGGAGGGGGAGGTCATCAGGAAGCCCCATCTCTAGCTGAGGAGCTATGACAACTGATAACTTTTAGGAGAGGGAGAGTACGTTTTTATAAGGGTGTGACCCCTGGTAGGTCAACCACACTCAGATAGGTGACTCTACACCCTGCAGTATATGGATGGCACAAAATTGGAATGTATGGGTAATAAAGGACACAAATATGGGGCCTGGGTGGGGAGTTAGGGGTAGGTTTAGAAGGGATGGGGGAGGAGTGGAGGGTGACTGTTATTGAAATCTATTGTATGAAATTCTCAAAGGGTTAATTTTAAAAGTGAAAATGAATGAAATCTGAAAACAATAAGAAGGTTTATGTGTTGTCCTTTTCAGCCATTCATTCATTCATTCATTCATCCATCCATTCATTCATTCATTCATCCATCCATCCATTCCACAACTATTTATTAGGCTTCTGCCATGAACCTGGCATGTTTGTTAGATGTTGTGACTGGCGAATCACAGAGCTTTCCAGAAACTCAAGGATGTGATGGTGCTCTACCGATCTACAAGACTGTAATTTGGGAATACAAACTCTCTCCAGGGGAAGGAAGAATGATGAAAATATTTTAAGCGAGGACAGGACACAAACAGATTTCTGCACTAGAATCCCACCTTACCTGGAGTGTGTGGAATGGACAGCCATGGGTGAATTACTTGGCAAGAGACTCCCCTGCTCTTTGCAAGGTCTCCCTGTTCTCCTGCATTTGGTGTTCGCTTCATTCCACAAAAGTGAACCCCCAGCCAAGCAAGCACAAGCTGGTTACATTTAGAGATCTCACCTGATGCTGTAGTAGACATTCTAAGTGTGTAGATCGGCTCACATGCCGTAGACTTGTTCCCTTCCCCTTCTGGGTTTTTGCTATTCCCTTCATGACTGCGTGCTCTTTGCTTTGCATTACAAATGACGCTCCCTTCCTCTGTAACCATCAATTTCAAACCGAATGTGTGCACAGTTACAATTTTCTAGGTAGGTAACCAAGACATTAAAAGCTGGGGAAATTCTTGAGGTGCTCTGTTTTTCCTCATTGTTTCCTTTATAGTGTATTGTTCATCTCCCAGGGGACAGTGAAAAAGCCTAGAAGCAAAATACTGTTGCTGAGTGAATGCTTGTTACTGAGTAGATGAATGAATCACACATGGAAAACTGCCCACAGCTGTTGGAATTTATAACCAGCTCTTATTGTTGCGTTTTGCAACATGTTCCCTCACCAGAGTAAATATATATGATTTACAGAGTAAATGTCGTATATTTAGGCTTCAAAATGATCAGTGGAAATAAATTTATTTATATTCTGTTCGAAAATTGATGATATATGGGTTCTCATTATAGGGTAGTAGTGTTGTGTGTGTATGTAAGTGTGTAAATATAGCTTCTCACAGTAGACACAAACTTAAAAATTAAATTTCTAATAAAGCTTCCAAAAGAACCTTAGTAATGCAGTTATGACACAAAGCAATCTTTCAAAAAGCTATTTGAGATGAATTTAACATAAAGTTCATGAGAGAAAAGCACCCACCTCCATTCCTTCTAGATAAATATGAGAAAAGTAACTAATCTTTTACATTAAAGGAGCATGTGTTGCTTACTAGAGGTCAGGGTTAGTTGCTAGTACTTGGAGTCACTAGTTCCTTCCTTCCTTCCTTCCTTCCTTCCTTCCTTCCTTCCTTCCTTCCTTCCTTCCTTCCTTTCTTTCTTTCTTTCCTTGTTTCTTTCCCTTCCTCCCTCCTTCCCTCCCTCCCCCCTTCCTTCTCTTTCTTTTTTAGACAAGGTCTCACTCATCTCAGACTGTCTTGAACTTGCTATGTAGCTAAGGATGGTCTTGAATTTTTCATCCTCTTTCCTCCACCCCCTAAGCGCTAGGACCACAGGCATGTGCCTCCATCTCCTAAGCGCTAGGACCACAGGCATGTGCCTCCACCTCCTAAGCTCTTGGGATTGCACCTAGGACTCCGTGTGTGCTAGGTAAGCACACTACCAACTAAGCAACATTCCTAGCACCTCATTTAATTTTCATTACAACTTAATAAAGCGAGTATTGTTCCTACCCTGCAGTTTGTAACTGAGGAAATAGGCAAGAAAGGGCTAAATAATCTGTTTATTGCTACAGAACTGATAAGTGGCCGCAACTGGGTTTGAATCAAGACCTTTGGCTCAGACATCCTTACTCTTGCCCAGTACACCCCGCTGCTTTCTAGAAGTCAGAAGCTGTCTCCAGAACACAGATCCTACAGTGGAAGACCAGGCCCAGATGACAGGCTTTGAGAATAACCTAATTGCCTGGTGTTTGTCCAAAGAGCACAAGACAAGCCTAAGATGATGACGAGAATTTTGACTGCGCAGTTAAAACAATGAAAGCAAGAGGGGCCGGGAAGTGAGGCGGGTTTGGGAAGGAACGTTGGGAGTTCTGTATGTGGTGTCTTACTTTGGGATTATCGTTATAGAGAGATGTTGCACCACCACTGGACACAGGAGACCACAGTTCAGGGGACAGATTGAGAGACAGATTTAGAACTGCTAGCATATGGACACCGCTTGAGTTGTAGGCTTGGCACCGTGCTCTGAGGGAGTGACAGTAGACAGAGCGAGGAAGACGCCTGAGGACTGAGTCCTGGGGGGCTCCAACATGTGCACGTCAGCTTGAAGAAAGGGATCCAAGAAAGGAGACAGCAACACTATGAGGAGAGGAAGCCGGGAAAGTGGGGGCTAGAGAGAGGTAAGGGAGGAAAGACAACCAGGAGGGCGTCGTCATCATCGTCATCGTCATCGGTGAAGCCAAACCACAGGGCAAGAGGAATGAGCATGGAGAATGTCCACTCTGCACCACGGGGGTCACTGGTGGCCTGACCAGAACCACACAGCTTTGTAGAACGGAGGTAAAAGCCTTATTGTAGGGGATGAGGAGAAAAGGGAACGGAAGAGGTGTCTGAGTGTGAGTAAAGACAGTGTTGCAAAGTGGAAGAAAAAATAACATGGCGAACTTCTGGGAAGAAGAGAGTCCCTGGGGCAGCCCATCTGAGATGCTGAGGGGAGCCGGCTGCTGGAGATCGGAGGAAAAACCTGCTTCGCCTAGCCCGCCTGCAGCAGTCAGCCTGCGGTAGTGCATGTGAGTGGAAGATGGTCGATGGGCGTTGTTGTGCTTTAGATATGGTTTAAAATTTCAAAGATATCCCCTCAAGGTTCAAAATCTGGAAACTTGGTCCCCTATGAAGTCGTATAAAAGTGGTTAAAGTGGAAGAGGTAGAAGATGGTTAGGTCATGGGAGTACCACCCTTGGAAGGGGTTGGCAGCAAGCTCAGGGAGCAGGTCAGGATTTGTGCAATTGGATTGTATCTCCAGGGGGTGTGCTGTTATAAGCTGGGGCCAACCCATGTGCTTCATCCCCTCTGCACAAGGCCAGTTCCCTGGGTGCTTCTCTGCCATACTGTGATGCAGCCAGCAGGCCAACACCAAGTTGTTTAGATTCTTCAGCCACAATGTTTGTGGGCCAAATAAACTCCTTGGGAAGTCACCCAGTCTCAAGTATTTTGTTACATCAAACACAAAATGGACTAAGATAGAGTCTTAGAAACTCTTGCTTCATTTTTTCCAGTGAATCAAAACGTCATCAGATGATACTAATCCTTCAACGACACTGGTGGCAGATGTGAGTACCAACAGGCTCCGGCAGCCCTGCCCCTATAGTCTAACGGATGCAGCCCTCATGGGCAGCCCTGCCCCTACAGTCTAGCTGGATGCAGCCCTCATGGTGTCTCTGGTCTCTCTGCTGGACTGGTCCTTCTCACTGCCTGCAGCTTTACTGTCAGACATTCTGTTTTCCATGTTCCTGGCATCTCCTTGTTTCTCAGGTCTCCAAGGCGTCTTTCAGGGCTTCATGCATCACTGCCTTAGGGGGATGTTTATGGAATCTGACTCTGCTCCACATTGTTTGGCCTCTCAGGGGCTTTCCTTAGAAAGCTGATGTGGATGATGTCATGGGCTGCAGCTGGGTTGGCAGGTAGGTGGTCTAACATCTCATCTCTAACAGCTTCTGAGTGTCTGGGTGGCTGAACCTGGGCAAACACTTTTCCAGAGCTCCCTCCTTCCCACAGGTGCTAATACTCGAAGAAAAGTCTTTCTATTGAGTTTACAATACTCCCTTCAGCACTTCCCAATATAGTACCACCAGATGGACCAAGGCCTCAACATATGAGCCGTAGAAGACTTTCCACATGTATAATAGCGATGAATATGCACAGTACATCTCCTGGAGATGCCTGCAGACTGTGTGTAGAGGATGCAGCATCTACAGGAGAGAGAGGATTAGATGTTTAAAGGAAGACACCACACAGGGTTAGTACAAAATACTAGGGCTATGTCGCCAAACCCTGTGGCCAGCATGGATGCACACTTACCCATCTGAAGACGACTTAGTTCAGCTAGATGGCACTTTGTCAGGAGCAAGTGGGAACTCGAAGTTTCAAAGAGCTCTCTAGCTGCTGCCTTGTGTAACATGATATGCAGACAGCCAGCTGCCCAGGAAGATGGGCTCAGTGGGGACCAATATTGGCTTGGTTGTAGATGTAACCGTCTTATTAAATAAGAAACACAGAGCCAATGCAGAGATGAAAGCCCAAGAGGTCAGAGCAATAGCTAAGAGCTAAAAACCTTACCCCTTCACTGCCGCTGCTGTCCTCCTCAGCAAGAGACCTACTTCCTGTGTGTTTGTCTTTATATAGACTTTCTGTTCTGCCTTCTCATTGGTTGTAAACCCAACCACATGACCTCCTCGTCACTGCCTGTCTGTACAGACCTCCAGGTTTTCTATGGTTGGTATTGAGATTAAAGGCATGTGTCTCCATGCTGGCTATATCCTTGAACACACAGAGATCCGCCTAGCTCTGCCTCCCAAGAGCTGGGATTAAAGGCATGCACCACCACCGCCCAGCTTCTGCTATGGCTTGCTATAAGCTCTGACCCCAGGCAACTTTATTTATTAACATGCAAATAAAATCACATTTCAGTACAAATAAAATATCATCATACTTGGTGGTATAGATGGAAGTTTGGCTTTAAATTTCTTGCTAAGGAGTTGTGTACAGCTAGGTGGCAGAGATTTTTATTTTTCATAGAGACTTATTTTTCTTGTTATTTAGAATAGTCCTTTGTGGGATGGAGAGTTGGCTCAGTGGTTAAGAGCCTTTGTTCTTGCAGAGGACCCAGGTTTTATTCCCAGCATCCACATGGTGACTCACAACTATCCATAACTCCAGTTCCAAGGGATCTGATGCCATCCTGTGACTTCTACAGGTACCAAGCATGGATGTGGTGCATAGACACATGTGCATGCAGAACAGTCATATACATATAATAAAACAAAATAAATAAATCCAAAAAAGTAGTCATTTGTATGATACAAAGCTTAACTTTGAGGTCAAGCAGTGTAAAAGCAAGCATACAGTATTAGACTACGGAGGAATGAAAAAAAGACAGAAACTCATGACTAATTATCTGTGGTCAAGCATTACCCAGAGTATTCTTCTCATTTGAATACATTAATTCATTTTCTTCCTTCACTCAACTACTCCATATGGAATGTCTGTATTAATGAACACTTGTTAAAGTAGGAACTCAGCAAAAAGCTAGAGACTGTGTATCACAGGAGAGTAAATGAATAGAAACAGCTCAGCACAAGGGGCATCAAGATCATGATGGGGGAACGCACAGAGACAACCAAACCAAACTAGTGGGAACTCATGAACTGTGGACCAATAGCTGTGGAGCCTCCATGGGACTGGACTAGGCCCTCTGCATAGGCAAGGCAGTTGTATAGCTTGACCTGTGTAAGGGGCCCCTGGCAGTGGGATCAGGATCCATCCCTGGTGCATGATCAGGCTTTTTGGAGCCCAGTGCCTATGGTGAGACACCTTACACAGCAACCTTGGTGCAGGAAGGAGGAGCTTGGACCTGCCTCAACTGAATGTACCAGGCTCTGCTGACTCCTCATGGGAGGCCTTGCCTTGGAGGAGGTGGGAATGGGAGGTCAGTTGGAGGGGAAGCTGGTGGGCAGGAGGAGGGGGGAGAGGGGGATCTGTGGTTGGTATGTAAAATGAATAGAAAATTTCTTAATAATAATAAAAAAGAAAAAAACAGCTCAGCAAACAAAAACAATAACAACAATGTACAGCATATTAATAAGTAACAGTTACCAAATGTTTCTTATGTACTGGGTCCTGCCTAAGCCCTTTCCCATCACCTCACTTAATTGTTTCTGCAGTCTATCAATATTATATGAATCATCTCAACAGATATTTACTTTCTAGAATATTTTCTTTGTAGGCTGTTGGTCAGCCAGGCTTAGCTCCAGGCTTTTGTTGGGTTCAAATCTGCTCCACATGTCTCTACTTTCTCTTTGTTCCAGAAGCTTCCTCAGGACATACTGTCATGGTAGATCATGGGGTGAGGGGTGTTAGCTGCCAAGCTACTGGACATTTACAGTTCTAACCCAAACACCAGATCCACCGTTCCTGCACTGGTCAGAGGATGAATGATGCACGGCCATCAGAAAGATGGAGAAACACACTGTTCCTTCTTTAGTGGGAGGTGCTGCAAGCTCATGGATCCATGGAACAAGTCAAAAACTGAGTACAATGACTCAGAGACAGAGAGTTGCTCTTCTGTCATCATTTGCAAGTGGAGAGATTTAATGAAGAGAGAACGGGATTGGTACAGCTAGAACCTAAACCTGGAAACTGGAGACACCTGACTGTCAAACCGTTTTTGCACAGGATGCTTTGGGGGCAGGTAGGGACGTGGGTTAAGAAGGGCTGTATAGGGAAGGTCATGTTTGGGGCTAAGCCTGAGCACTGTTGGGTCAGGTTTGAAACCTAACTGTGGAAAACAACGGAGGTCATTAACACTTGTGAGAACAGTTTCACTGGGGGAGGTGGGAACAGAGGCAGATGGTGGTAGATTAAGGGTGAGTGGGAAGTGAAGGAATGGAGCCAGCTTCCAGAGCCTGGCTAAGAGGAGCAGGGAAAATCTGGCAATAGGATTGAAATAGGGAAGAATGTCACTGTTTTGTTTTTCTTAAAAGTCATGAGTACTTTATATATGTTCTCATCTACTAGCTTGGGTCTAGCTTGTTTCCTGAGACTTTGAGGTGGGTCTTTAGGTTAGGAGCATCATTCTCCCTGGGTTTTAGGTGTGGACTCTCATGGTTACACTTCCCTCTGAGAACAGCCTTGGCTGTGATTAATAGCTTGTGTCTTAGTTTTCACTGGCTTCTAGGAACTTTCTAATTTTCTCCCGGAGTTGGGTGGTGTCATCTCTTGCTATTGACTTCTAGTTCTATTCCATTATTATCTGAAAGGGTATAAGAAGCAGTCGGATCTTTTTTTGTATTTGTTGGGCCTTCCTTCCATGGCCTACAATGAGATCTCTTTCAGAGAAAGCTCTATTGGCTGCTAAGGATGTGTATTCTGTTACTGTTGGATGGAATATTCTGTAGATGTCTATTTGTGTTGGTTTGAGGTAGGGTCTCATGTAGCTTAGAGTGGCCTCAAACATGTTGTATAGCCAAAGATGACCTTGAACTCCTCCTGTCCCTGCTCTTTTGGTGCTGGGCTTATATAAAATTTAAATAAATGTGCATCACTATGGCAACTTGTAGATGCCTATCAAGTTCATTTGATGTATGGTACAGTTTAACTCTGAGGTTCCTTTGTTGGTATTTTTGTCTGTATCGTCTCTTTATTCAGGATAGTAGGGTATGGTAAAACCTGCTGTCATTGTACCTGGATCTATCTTCCCTTTACATCCAGTCAGTGGTGTTTGTCTTATGAAACTGGGTACACCAATATTTGTTGTTTAAATATTTGCTGTCTTATCTTTGTGGTGCACTGATCTCTTGATTGAGATGGAATGATTTTCTGTATCTCTTCCTACTAATTTTTTGCCTAGTTTTCCAGATGTAAGAGTGACCATTACTAATTGTTTTCTGATTCACTTGATTGCTGTACAGTTTTCCATTCATAATCTCTGTGAGTGGTCTGCCGGTGAGATGTGTCTCTGCTGGCACATCCATGTTTCCTTATTTATTTTTGACAATGAATTAATATTTTGTGTACACCATAAACTTTGCTCAGATGGAGTAATAACACGTGTTTTACTTTATTATTATCATTGGTTTTTGGTATTTTGAGACAGGATTTCTCTGTGTAGCCTTGGCTGCCCTGGAACTAGCTCTGTAGACCAGGCTGGTTTTGAACTTGTAGAGATCCGTCTGCCTCTGACTCCTGAGTTCTGGGGTTAAAGGTATGGTTCACCACACTCGGCTACTTTCTTATTTTTTAAGTTTTATATGCATTACCTGTAATTGCAGTTTGAATGGAATCCTCCTATTTGAACACTGTTTCTGGAAATACAGTTTCATTTTTCAAGTGTTCAATTTTTTTTTTTTACTAAACTCTTGTGATAATTACTATGTAGAACACTTCAATCCAACCAATACATATTCATGATCTTTGCCTTGTGGTCAGAAGTTATAGATCAGGCAGGTGTCATCAACAGACGGATGAAGACAATGTGCTAGCCACAAGGGACTTCTATTCAGCTCTTAGGAAGAAAAAAATGTTATTTGTACAAAAATGAGTGGAACTGGAGGTCATCATGTGGAGTCCAATAAGCCATGTCCAGAAAGACAAATGTCTCCTTTTCTCTCATATGGAGACTACAGACTAGAAGGGAAACAAGACTTGAAAATGAAGACTTATTTGGGACGGGGAGTGGACCGGAAGAGAGTGAAGGAGGACACAAAAGCAAAGTATACCTGTGTCGTGGTGGCAGTGGTGGTGCATGCCTTTAATCCCAGCACTCAGGAGGCAGAGGCAGGTGGACCTCTGTGAGTTTGAGGCCAGCCTGGTCTACAGAGTGAGTTCCAGGACAGGCAGGGCTGCTACACAAAGAAACCCTGTCTCAGAATAAAAAATATCAAAGTACACGATAGACTTACATGAGAATATCTTAATTAATTAAACCCACTATTTTTTTTTTTATAACAAGTGTATGCTAAAGAAGGAAAGGAAATGAACAAAAACACAAAAGCAAACCCCAGAGTCCCCAGTGTTTAGTGGAGAGGTGCTCTTCGGCTTGGTTGTGGTCTCCATCTGTTCCCTCAGATGCTCCTCTCTTGGTACAAATGGACTAAACTAGAGAGTGAGGGGTGACACAGAGTGGAGAGTTGGATAGGACACCAAAGGAGGGAGAAGTGATCATTGTAAAGTGTTTGACATTGAGTACATGTGGTCTGGCCTCACCTCTGTCACTGAGCTGATTAATTTATTTAAATGATATTTAGAGAATGAGGTGAGCTTTACCATGAACAGGCTTGAAAGACTTCTTGGAGGTTGCTTACAAACATAAACGGGCTCTTCCCTGGCGTGCACCTCCACAGCCGCCTGGCTTATCTGCTTGTATTCTGTTGGTGAAAAAGAGTCACAAATCACACCTTCCTCCAGTGCAGGACAAGTACAGTCTGAAGAGGACTGACCCCGGAGATATCAGTCCGCAGCAGTGATGGCAGCCCCGTGGAAAAAGATCAGTTGTCATTTGTGCTGGCAGCTGAAAAAGGCTGTGGTCTGTCCTGTGGGAAGCATGCTCTGGCCCTCCTGTGTTCTCTTCCTTTCCTCATCATGCTCAACCTCAGAAGCTGAGCTCTGCACACGGCACCCACAGGCTTCCTAAGGGTCCTCGGTGTTTTGGCTGCGTCTGGCCAACGTGAAGTTGTGATTAGATTGAAGCAAAGGAGGAAATGTGTTCAGGTGTTCCTTTGCCATACACCATGCCCTGTTTGCCTCTGCTAGAGGTCACGTTCCCTCTGGCAGAAGAGACCTCCTAGGTCTTCAGACCATGCTGGGCAGGGAGGGTTTCTCACTGCTTGTGTTTCTCAGGCCCTTCAATAGCCTGCTTGCTATAGGCAGAAGTTTCTCTCCTGCCTGCCTATTCCCAAATACTCAGCAGCCACTTTCTAAATAATTGACTTGGAGGCTTAATATTACTTATAAATACTCAGCAGTAGCTTAGGCTTATTACTGACTCACTCTTATCCTTAAATTAACCCATAATTCTTTTTTTTTTTTTTTTTTTTTGGTTTTTTCGAGACAGGGTTTCTCTGTGTAGCTTTGCGCCTTTCCTGGGACTCACTTGGTAGCCCAGGCTGGCCTCGAACTCACAGAGATCCGCCTGGCTCTGCCTCCCGAGTGCTGGGATTAAAGGCGTGCGCCACCACCGCCCGGCTTAACCCATAATTCTTATCTATGTTTAGCCACATGGCTTGCTATCTTTTCTCAGTGCGGCATTCTCATGTTGCTTTCTCTGCGTCTGGCTGGTGACTCCTAATTCTGTCCTTCCTCTGCCCAGAATTCTCCTACTCTGGTCACCCTGGCTATACTTCCTATCTGGCTACTGGCAAATCAGTATTTTATTAAACCAATTCTAGTGACAAATCTTTACAGTGCACAAGAGCATTATCCCACAGTAGCCTGCATTGGCTTTCCTTAATTTGCTCACCTAGCCTCAAATAGAACAGTCATGAATGTCTCCTTATTCTTTGTAAGGTGCTGTTTCCTGTTTCCTGCTGGAATCTGCTGGAATCTGCATTAATATGACATTCAGTAAAAATGTAGTGGCCCTTGGATACTTGATCCTGGCGGGTAGCAAATGGACAGAAATAGTTACACAGATGCCAAGAGTGGATACATGGCATCCCTGTAGATACAGTCACGGGGAATGAAGGACCAGGAAGATTATAGTTAAGGGGGGGCGGAGCAGGGAGCTGGGCAGATGGCTCAGTGGATAAGGTGCTGGTTATGCAAGCACGAGGACTGGAGTTCAGATCCCCAGAACCCATCTCAAGTCAGATATTGTAGTGTTCCCCTATAATCCCAGCATCCTGATGGCAAGATATGGCGGGGACACAGGAGGATCTCTGTAAGTTCAGGGCTCAGCCTAGCTA